AAAGGGAGAAGTGGATACACTGGGCAGATATTGGTGTGGTTCAAAGATTACAGGGAGCCAGGATATCTGATATTCTAAGATTTCCTTTATTATGTGAAACTTCAAAAACATTCTAACCCTTAGTAAAAATTTTAGCCATGTTTTACAGTAGCTTAGGAAATAAAGGAAGGGTCCTGTTGCTACTCCTTGGAGGAAAGCAGAGCTCAGTGTCTGACATCTGCAAGAAAAAACTCTTACAAAGTGTTAGTAGAGAAGTTCAGACCAAATCAGATAAATCTGTGGAAAACATAAGCCCTCCATTCAAGGTTTGGGATCTTTCACATGCTTAGGGAGAGGTTGGGTTCTCCTGTTGTGAGTCACTCAGGATGGGAGCCTCAGATGATTTTATTTTGTACTTACAGGGAAGAGTTACCCCAGAAGCTAGGCTAACTAATATTTCAAAAGCTACATAAAAAGAGTAGGAAAGAGATGGGGCAATAGATCTATGTTCCAAACACTAAATTTTTTTGTTTCTTTTATTTTTAAAGCTTTGCTTGTTTCATAAAGAGAGAGACTTAAGTTTGCTTTTAGATCCAGAGCATGTTGGGGTGAGAGTGGAGGTCAGTCTCCAATTTGATTTTCCTCATATTTCACATCTGGGTTTTCCCCTCTCTCCAGAACTAAAACTTAGCCTTACAATAGGAGACAGTGCCATGTTGCATATTACTTAGTTATAACCTAAAGATTAAATCTTAAAGTGTCTAAGCAGCTTTAAGTTGCCTTCTGTTACTGGACCCTGAAGGTTGTTTCAGTGCTAACTTCTGGGCATCTGTATTTTTTTATTCTAGAGTTAAGAGTTTTTCTTCTATTTTTCTTTGACACCACTGCTTTATGAAGATAAAGTTTGTTCTTAAAAGTATTCAGTATCTCTGAGCCCAGGTAACTCCTACTAGTCCTCATAGGGTTTCTGTCCTTATTCCGACCTTCGTTCTAACAATCTGCTCAGCCCTCTCAGGTCCCTCCTAAACCCAGGGCCTTACGTTGCTTTTGCAAGTCTTCCACCTCAGAGAAAACATAATCCATGAAGAGACATACCTTGGTCTGTCCACCTGAATGTCCGCGTTGCTCCCTTCATTTTCCAGTTTTTCACCCCAGAGTTTTTCTTATATGTTAGAAAGCCCTCCTGTACTACTTGTTGGGCTTTTGATTAGAGGTCCGAGGATTAACTTCCCCTTGGACACCATGGTAGTTATTAGAGTTGTTCACAGATTTTCATGTTCTCTTCTTTCTGGTCATGTTGGATAGCATTACATTTCCCCTTTCTCTTGAAGTTAGGTTTAGCCATGTGACTTCTTTTGGCCAATAACATGTGAGTGGAAGTGAAGCATATTGCTTCTGGGAGGAAGCATTTTAATGGCTAATACAAGACACTGTAAACTAGCAGTTAAATTTTATGATCCCTATTGTGGTAATCCTGAAAGCACGTATCTCAGTGAAGCCTCCACCAGTCTGGGGACTTCAGTGATTACAACGAGCAGAGTCCATGTAGTGGATGTTGTACTGAACTCCAAGATTCACCATTTAGAACTGAAACACCATCTCTCCCAACTGCTGGAAATATTGGTAGCTGACAGTCCTCAGCTGTGTCCCTCTCTGGAGGTGTTGCTTTTGGATAAAGACAGCTCTCTCATCCAAGGAGCACTTCCCTTCCCTGGATGCAGCCTGTATCCAGTGATGGGTTGATGTGAGGGTATAAAGACCTAGCCCCTTGCCTCAATTTAGGACAATGTTGAAGGGCCATGCTAGTGCCAGAGCTCTGCAGAACTGGCTGAAGCCTCAGTGGTAACTATGCTGACAACTTCCCCCTCTGACTGATCTTGTAACCCGTATTCTTCAGAGATTGTTCTTGAGAGCATTACCCCAAAACCTCCTATATGCAAATCTCAGTTTCAGTGGTTTGGTTTCCAGTGAACCACATTTGTGATAGGCTTCCTAACCACTTGTATCAAATACGTAAGATGTGTGAGAACTAAATTTTGTTGTAATAAGCTGCTGTTTGTTATAACCCAGTTTATCCTAACTAGTACAGATAACAAACTTTCCTGCCCTGCCAGTATCTTTATTCTCGCCTGAGTTTGACTTGTATTGTCTGTCTTGTCTTTTTGAACAGATTGATTGCCAAGTTCTAGTTCTTCTCTGATGTTATTTCTCATGAGTGAACAGCCATGTCCCAGCTGAGATATTACAAGGAACAACAAAAAAGGGAAGGGGGTTGTATATCTAGTTATCTACTGCTTATTTATTATCAAGTTGGTGGCATAATTTTTTCATGTAAATTTCCTAGGACTCTTTCTTCTTTTCTATATAACTTATTATACATTTATAACATATACAAGGGTACACTGTTTCTTAGGAGAATTTTTGTGCAAATAAAAACGAATCAAATACTTAAGCCTAATTTGAGAAAGTAAAACAGTATACTACCACTGTCTACACCTCTGACGTACTTAATTCCTATTACTCTGAGTGCTCAATCTTCTTTATTTCTTGAAAATCAAATGGTAAAACAATTTTGGGTCTTTGGGCAATATATATGTGTATATATATTTACATATACACAGATATACATACACACATATATGGTGTGTGTGCTCAGCTGTGTCTTGATTCTTTGCGACTCCATGGACTGTAGGCCACCAGGCTCCTCTGTCCATGGAATTTTCCAGGCAAGAATACAGGGGTGGGTTGCCATTTTCCTCCTCCAGAGAATCTTCCCGACTCAGGGATGAAACCCTCCTCTCCTGCATTGGCAGACAGATTCTTTAGCACTGGGCCCCTGGGAAGCGAAGCGCGCCTTGTGAGCGCGCACACACACAAACACACACACCATAAAGCTAGTGAACCAAAGCATATGCTCCTTTTTTTTTTTTCTTCTCTGTTTAAAGGATTTTACTACAAAAGACCTCTCTGCCTTAAGGGTAAACAGTATAAAAATATTTCCACTAAAAAGGGTCTGAGAACTCTGAGCTGGGATTACCACAACCCCTAATTATATAAGATACTTAGTATGATAACACCAACTAGTGTAAGGAATGTGCAGATTTATTTACATCAAGTTCAGATAAAGAGATAAAAGGGGACTTGAATAAGCAAGCAAAGATTAGGACTTCAGGAGTGTATATTTGAAGGTATCTTTGGAACTGCCCCTTAGCTACAATGAAAGACCAGTAAAACCAGCCTTCAGAATAACCCTTCTGCTTAGTAGGAGAAGGGAAGGCTAGAATTCACCTCTAAGATCGCCCTCCCACGCAGATTTTCCACCTAGCAGCTAAGAATTAAACCCAGACTTCCGATCATGGCGCCACGCACGTCACCTTCTCCCTCTTCGCCTAGCAAAATCCCACCCAAGTCGACCAGATCCTGCAAGAGTGCGTAGAAGCTGCAGGGTCGGGGGAGAATTCCCTTCCACAATCCAGGTTGCTTGGGGTTTTGCAATTCAAAAAAACCTGCTAAACAGATCCAAGTCAGATTCAAAGGAGGCTTAGATACCACCAAGACCTGCTCTTTCCCTTGGGTGCGTAGACTCGACCCAACTCTTTACCCTGAGACGCTACTCCTCACCGCAAATTTCCTTTCAAATGCCTTAGGGGCTTCCAAGGCTCCCAGCCTTTGTGAATAAAGGCCCACCCTCGAAGTGGAAACCTCGCTGCATAGAGAAATATGCACAGACAGCAGGACAGCGAACAGAATTGTAAAAGAATGAGTTCTTTCTAGCTTTGCATCCTTTCGAATGTTCAATATTCCTGTTAGCCAAGAAGCGTTCCGGTAATGGGTACTTGAGGGAAGCAGGCCACCGATTAGAGCAAAAAACATCAATACAGGGGTGGTCTTTCCAATTCCGGCTTTTGTTTGAGTCAGTGAGGGTAGCCCGAGGAGGCCAAAGTCTCTGGTTCTGGGAAAGGCGGGTCCGTCCCGATTCTTTGAGCGACGGAGAGGCAGGCGCCGGCCCCAAGAAACAAAGGGGGTAGTTCTGCCCCTCCAGGGTTTTACTCCAGGAGTCCCAAAGGACTCAGAGGCTAAATCACCGAGCTCGGAAGAGTTTGCCAAAGGTTGGACAATAGACGCGGCTGCCCTCTCTTAAGCACACAAATCCCACGCGTGCTCGTCTAGAAGGTATGTGAGCGTCAAGGAGAAAGGCCATTGCTGCCCGTCGCGGGCGGTCAGCCCCGCCCTGCTCTCGGTGGCTGGGGGGAGACTCGCAGCGCAAGAGCCCCGGAGTCAGCCTCAGCAAGCCCGGGAGCGAGGGGCGGGGCCGGGCGGGGCCGCGAGAGCGCAGGCGCAGTGCGGGCCTCGTCGCGCCGCCGCCGCCGCTGCCGCCGCCCGCGCTGCACCACAGGCCCGAGACAGACAGGGCCGGGAAGAGCTGGAGACGGAGGAGGAGGCGGAGGCGGCGGCGGAGGCGGGGCGACTCCGGTGACCGGGAGCGCCGCAGACTGGCAGCTGCGGCGACTCCCCCCTTTGTGTCTGGTCTGCTCGGAGCCTCTGGAAGTGCTTCCCGGAGGGGCGCGGGGTATCTCGCCGCCTCGCTGCCCACCCCCCTCCCTAGCCACCTACATCCGCCCTCCCGCCGCCCCCCGCCCTCGGCCCGCGACACCCGAGCTCCGCCCGGAGCCTAGAGCTGCGGGAAAACGAGGCGGCGGCGGCGGCGGCGGCTTCCTCTGGGGAGGGGGTTGTGATTCGCTCACAGGAGCCCTTGAAGGGAGAAGACGAAGCTTTTACGGCGGAATTTACCTCAGGCAAGATGGAGCGGCAGCAATAAAAAAGAGAGCGAGCGAGGAGCGCACCCGGGAGAGCTAGGAAGGGCAGCCTGCCGACCCCTCCCCTCCCCCGCTTCCCACCGCCCCTCAGCCCTCCGGCCGGGACCTGCCCAGCGCTCGCAGGATTGTTCCGCGAAGGCGTGAAGGCGGTGGGTTTGTCCATGGAGGCAGGCACCTTTTTCGATCCAGTCGAGGAGGAGGATTTGCTGTGCTCAAGACCGGAGTGAGGGAAGCACCGAAGCGAAACTTAAAAGGATTCTTGCCCCTCCGGAGCACAGGCGATGCGCCTCGGGTCGCCCGGCGCCGCCGCCGGCCGTCCGGCTTCGCCCTTCCCGGCAGTCGGGAACTTGTTCTGATCCTCGGCGCCCCTCGAATCCCCGCTGCCCACCCCTCGGCACCCTGGATATGTTTTCTCCCAGACCTGGATATTTCTTCGATATCGTGAAACTACGGGGGAAATAACTGCGGGGCTTTTTTTTTTTTTCCCCCTCTCGTCTCCGTGCTTCTCCCCACGGACATGCCTTCAGTTTGGGGCGCCGAGGCACCCAGTCCTGGGCAAATGAACACCCCCAGCCGCGAGGGAGAGAAATGAAGGGAATTTGTGCAGCGGAATGAAAACTCTGCCGCTCGGTCCTCTCCTCTGCCATTTGTCCTTTCAAACTGCATTGTAATACGGGCCGGAGAAGTCCGACGAGAGCGAGGACTAGCCTCCCGGCCGCGTTTCTCCGCCCGTATTCACTTTCCGTCTTTCTTTTTCTCTGCTCTCCTTCTCGGCTGACCCAGGGATGACTTCGTCTCCGCGGCGGCCCCGGCGGGTGCCCTCGCTGCTGTGGACCGTCCTGCTGGTCAGCGCTGCGGCTGGTGAGTCGCCCCGGGTGGCGCGTCCGGGCCACTTCCCTGCGGCTGGCGGGGAGCGAGCCCGCAGAGGCCGAGGCCTGCGCTCGCCCTTCGCCGCGCGTCCCCTGATTGCCCCGGACCTGCGCGCCTGTCCCGGTCCTCCCGGAGAGCTAACCTTCCACGTTTTCGTGGAGTTTCAAATCCCCACACCGCGTATTCCCCACCCCCCACTCCCCCCACCGGGGCGGGGGGGAAGAAAGACACTTAGGGTGTGGTATCTTGACATTTTTAGCTGTGAGGTAATGCAGGGATTAAAAATAATATTTTAATCACCAGCGAACAGTGCCTATTAGGAGATCTTTGGGAACAGACCTGTAGATTTTTTTTTTAATATAAAGGATCAGATTTGGCTGTAAGTAGAAAGGACATCCACTGTAGAACACACACTTGAATCTTATTTTTAGATGTAGATCACTCTTTGAGAATCCCTGGTACTTTGATTATTCTAAAAAATGTTGAGGAAGGCAGAATTGAGAGATTCTTAGTACATTGTATACTACTGTTAATCGTTTTTTATCATTATTTTGTTTTGAAGTATATTAGTAATTTTGATCTTTTCCGTCTGAACAGTCATATTTTGTATACTTTTGGAATTACTTTTGGGCTTAGAAGTGTTTTCGGTAAGTTTTCATTTAGTCATCTGGCTTTCTATTGGCTTTCCTGTCATTGAGGCAACTTTGACCTCACGTCGAGACTTCTAGGAGATTTGAGTCCTGAAAGTTCTTTTGACATTTTACTGAAGCTTAAAGAGGAATCCTTTCTTTAGGATATTTTGTTCTTAGTTCTCAGACACCTTTAGGAAAAAACCTCGTTTCGTTTGCAGTTACTTTTCAAGTCTTTTGGTGATTTGCTTTTAGAAATTTTAGGGAGTGAATTATGCATATAATTCTTAAATTGGGTTTAGGATGGCCAGATAGATTATACATTTAAAAGTGAATAGAGAGGAAAAAAAAAGTGAATAGAGAACAACATAACACCTTTCCAGTTATTTTTTCTTAATAAGTATAATTTTCGCATTCAATAAATTTCTCAATGCTGTGTTAGATATGGAGATTTCATATTTTCATTTGGAAAACACTGAAAAAAATTTTGAACTTTTGTGCTTTTAATATTGTTGATTGATGTCTACTATGTTTATGATAGTTGTGTTAAAGTAATATGAACTTCTGAATTTATTTTAACACTGATATTTTAATATTACTAATTATGAGTTTCTTTTCGGGAAAAGTGAATGATTTTTCTCTAGATTACTTTATATTGTGTTACCTCTTTAAATTCTCTAGTATTAAGCCATGTGGTTGGTCCCTGTAAAATATGAAGACAGTAAAAGGCCTTAAGTTTAAGCAGTCATTCTAAGAGCAGAAATCTCAGAGCATACACTTTTCAGTGTTGGTTTATTCTTGACTTTTCTACAACACAGATTCTAACTTATAGTTGACAGAATTATCAATTTGTGATTAGAACTGATGAAAGTAAGAGAAAGATCAATTGACTTAAAAAAAAACACATGGTTTCTGTTTGGTAAATGAAATATTAGAATAGTGGTCCTTAAAGGGATAGATTAAAGTAATCACTGTTTAAAAGTGATTTTAGTCGTCTTTTTTCTTCAGTATTACTTACTACCAGATGCTAACATTTGTGAAGTTGGATTTCAGATCTGTGACAATAACAACAACAGTATTTACTGAGTGCTAGCTATGTGCCAGGAACTGTTCTAGTAGCCTTAGATGTATTTTCTTATTTGATCCTCATGACAGTTCTGTACTCCAGGTTCAGTTATGGTCCTTTTATAGAGAGTGAAGTACTCTGTGCATCCCCATGGACGTTAGCCCACCAGGCTCCTCTGTCCGTGAAATTCTCCAGGAAAGAAGACTGGAGTGGGTTGCCATGTCCTTCTCCAGGGGATCTTCCCCACCCAGGGATTGAACCGGGTCTCCTGCATTGCAGGCAGATTTTTTACCATCTGAGCCATTTGGGAAGCCCAGAGTGAAGTACAGAGAATTTTAATAACTCACCACACGGTAAATTTTGGAGCTAAAATTACAGCCTGCACCCTTACCTACCATGTTAATGAAGGCAACAACTTCTCAGTCTAATTGGGAACATGAGATAGAGTTAGTGTCTTCAGATTAACCTTTGAAAAGAAGCCGGGACTCTTGACAGAATCTTAGTACCGCACTTCTTATGCAAATGTCATGGTTCTAAATGTGTAAAACTTTGCCTAATATTGGAGTGGTTAGTGCAGTTTCATTAAGTGTAAGGTAGCTACAGAGGACCTGTGTGAATTTGGGATGTACAGATGCAATGATGTAGAGGTGCACATGGTGCAGCTGAACAGGAAAATAATACTGGAAGATTGACATCACATCCCTCTATGGGGTCATGGATAAATCCTATTTTTTTGGGGTCCCTCTTTCCCACTTATTCTATCTAGTTCTTGGATCCTTAATTCTAAGAAGAGTTGGTATGCAGAAATTAGAATTTATAGAAAATACATGCTTGTTTGGTTTGTAAATGAAGTCTTAATTTTAATAAAAGGATGTGATATAATGTAATACCTATTTAAGAGTCAGCTTTTGTTAAAATTTTTTTAAAATTTAAGTTGCCAAGCTGTTCATTTAGGTTGTAATGGTTACGAATAACAGATCTAACCCTGTGTCCTTCCCCACCATATGCAGCCCATTGAGCAGACTAAGCTACTCTTTATTTCCTCCAGTCTTTGTTCTTGTTTTCATCCTTCTTGTCCTTCCTGCCATCTTTGTTGGCCTCGGAGGCCAGGGAGTCCATGGTATTTTGAATGGTCTCATTTTGGGGATCCAAACCTGGAAGGTTCTCCAGGACCCAAAGGATTTCGGGAGTCCTACATCCTTTCTTAATCCTCTCTCCTTGTTTGGCTCAGTTGTGTCCATGGCTCAGTTGGCACCCAAGTTAGCTGATTCTGCCTTATCGGTGTCAGCTGATTCTTCCTGCATTTGAAATAGTTCACTTGACTAGGTTTCAGTTTAACATACATCTCTTCAGCAACACACATGTTGTCTACAAAAGCTATCATGGCATATGGGTTGTGGTGGAGGTGGTATTGTTGGAGTGGGTGTTGGTGTGTGTGTGTAGAATGTGGGGAAAGAGATGTTTATTCCAGCTTTACTACATTAAAGGCCAACTTTCTTAACAGTGAAAGAGAAAAAATTTATTATTGTTCTCTGATGGGTAAGTTTTAATTATAAAAGGTACAGAATGAAGTCACTGTAAATCAGTTAATTTTATAACTGGCCATATCACTTTTTAAAAAAATATTGAAGTATAGTTGACTTACAGTGTTATGTTAATTTCTGATGTACAGCAAAATAATTCAGTTGTACCTATTTCATATTCTTTCCCATTATGCTTTATTATAGAATATTGAATATGGCTTCCTGTGCTATACAGTTGGACCTTGTTGCTTAATATTTTATATATAGTAGTTTGTATCTGCTAATCCCAAACTCCTAATTTATCTCTCCCTCACTGCCTTTCTCTTTGGTCCTCTAAGTCTATGAATCTGTTTCTGTTTTATAAATAAACTTAATTGTATCCTATTTTAGATTCCACATACAAGTGATATCTTATGGTATTTGTCTCTCTCTGACTTAAACTTCATTTAGTATGATAATCTGTAGGTCCATCCATGTTTCTATAAATGGCATTATTTCATTTTTTTCTAGTAGTATTCCATCTGTGTATGTACCACATCTTCTTTATCTATTAGTTTGTTGATGGACATTTAGGTTACTTCCATGTCTTGGCTATTGTAAATAGTGTTGCTGTGATCACTGGGGCGCGTGTATCTTTTCAAATTATAGTTTGCTGTGGATATATGCCCAGGGATGGAATTGCTGGATGATATGGCAACTCTAGTTTTTTAAGGAACCGCCAGATTGTTTTCATTAGTGGCTGCACCAATTTATATTCCCACCAGCAGTATAGGAGAGTTCCCTTTTCTCCACACACTTTCTAACATTTATTTTTTGTGTTCTTTTTAAGGCCATTTGACTGGTGTGAGATGATACCTCATTGTAGCTTTTGATTTGCATTTCTTTAGTAATTAGTAAAGTTGAACATCTTTTTATGTACCTATTGTCAATCTGTATGTTTGTTTAGGTCTTCTGCCCATTTTTTTTATTTTTATTTTTTTGTTGTTGTTTTTGAGTTACATGAACTGTTTATATATTTTGAAAATTAAGTCCTTATTGGTCATATAATTTGCAGATATTTTCTTCCAGTTCTTAGTTTGTCTTTTTATTTTGTTTATAGTTTCCTTTGTTGTACAAAAGCTTCTAAGTTTGATTAGATCCCATTTTTGCTTTTATTTATATATTTATTTTTTTGGCCTCAACATGTGGGATCTTCATTCCCTGACCAGCGATTGAACCCAACCAGGGATTGTACCCATATGCCCTAGAGTAGAAGTGCAGAGTCTTAACCACTAGATTACCAGGGAAGTCCCTATTTTTGTTTTTATTTCTGTTGCTTTGGGAGACTGACCTAAGAAAGCATTGTGAGGGTTTATGTCAGAGAATGTTTTGTGCATGTTCTCTTCTAGGAATTTTATGGTGTCATATCTTATATTTAAGTCTAAGCCTTTTTGAGCTTATTTTTGTGTAGTGTGAGGGAGTATTCTAACTACATTGGTTTACATTCAGTTGTCTAGCTTTCCTAACACCACTTGCTAGAGAGACTGTCTTTTTCTCTGTTGTGTATTCTTGCCTCCTTGCTCAGAGATTAATGACTGTAGGTGTGTGGGTTTATTTCTGGGCTCTCCTTCTGTTCTCTTGATTTATATGTCTGTTTTTGTGCCAGTAAAACAGACGGTGCCATGCTGTTTTAATTACTGTAGCTTTATAGTCTTGTTTGAAGTCTGGGAGGGTTATGCCTCCATTTTTCTTTTTCTTCAGGATTACTTTGGCAAATCTGGGTCTTTTATCATT